TTTTTTTCTCTAGAACTAAAAGAGATTTTTCGAAACGGCTTTTTGCATTAAAAAGAGGATACTTAAATTAATAATTGGTGATATTTCCACAAGGATCCTTCAAGAAATTAATTTTATAGCGAATTTTGAAAATTATCGATGAAAATTGCAACATCGAAAATTTGATCAAAACTTCAAATATTGTTTTTTCAAAAACTAAAAATTATATTTCAAAACGGGTTGGTTCATTGGAAAGAGGGCACTTTTATTAACACTTTGGGAAATTTTCATACTGATATTCCAAGAACTAGATTTTATACGAATTTTGAAAACTTAATTGGTGAAAATTGCAAAATTCGAAAAAAATCGCCGATTATTTCAAAAATTTATTTCCCAAGAACTAAACGTGATTTTTCAAAACAGCTTTGTGCATTAAAAAAAGGAAACTTTAATTAATAACCGAAAGTAATAAGAGATTTTATACAGGGTGAGTCAGAAAGAATGGGAAATCCGAATACCGTAGACACTAGACACCAAAATATAACGATTTAACCTAACATCTCTTATACAGATGTCAGTGGTTTTCAAGGCACAGAGTGTTGTAAGTTAAATTCTTATTTCGAAATTTCCTATTAAAAATTTCCGAAGTTTACTATTAACATAAAATGTTGGTGGTTATATTATGTTTTCGAGCATGAGAAATATGTCTTGTAAAATTCATCAATGAACAGAATCTTGTCAAGAAAATATTCATTTTCCCTTAATTTGTTTCGTAAAAAGTGGGCATAATGGATTTTCTGCAACTCGAACCAGGATCTCTTCTTCTTCGTTGACGCTGATTTTTTTTGTGGAGCAGCAGCCCGAAGTGCTGCTAAACTATTAAAATTGGTTTGAGCAAAACAACAAATCATATCTCTCTTATCACTATTAGAAAACTCATGATGTCGTGGCATTTTCAAATTAGTAATAACGTTATTGTTGGTAAAAATGATTATTGCACACGAAAATTTGAGCATTAACAAGTAATTGTCGAAACATGAGCGGAAAAATAAGCCAACTTAGTTTATGTTAAAAAATAAAAATTTTAGAAGCAAAAATACATTTAACCATTTAAAAGTAAATAATTCGTAATTAAAACCGATAGACTTAGACAATTTAAATAAGAGTACGTTTTTTATGTAAAATTGACTGCTCCACAGCTAAAAAACTTATGATTTGATTTATCAAACGGGCAGTATGTATCTAGCGCCCTCTACTAGCAATAACAAAACAAGTTTCAAATTCGTATTTCTCATGTTCGAAATCATAAAACTGCCAAATTTTATGTTAATAGTGTAAAAAGCTTCAAAATTATCAAGAAATTTCTAAATAAGAATTTAACTTTCAACGTTTTCGAGGCACAGGGTCCTCGAAAACCACTGACATTTGTATAAGAGATGGTAGGTTAAATCATCATATTTCGGTGTCTAGTATCTCCGGTATTCGGATTTCCCATTCTTTTTGACTCACCCTGTATATCATATTGGGATTGTTACAATGAGGTTGCTAAAGACAAACTTTATATAGTAGAAACCACGAGAGCTGGCAGTGACAGATCGTTTACAAATGGTATGAATCAAGATATGGACGTACGACTTAGATTATTTCACCACACACATTTAAATGTAGGTTATGTTAGTAATGGAGGTTATATGTCAAACATTGTCAAAAATATTATTTAATGATTTTCCTTTCAAAGAAAACATTTTCGGCTTGTGAAAACACTGATAGATTCATGACAACGCTCACAAGACGTTTCGATTTGAGGTTATAATTATAGAGTTACATCCCTTAGAAGAACAGACGTACTTTTTCGACGTGGCCATTTGAATTGTACAGCAGACATATTAAACTAATGCTATCTCTTTCTAACACACATTACTCTTTAGCGGTTTGTGAACTACGTATGGCATTTGTAAGAGCGGAAAATGATGATTTACTGCCAGCTCTCGTGGCGTCTACTATATAAATAATTGTATGAATCTATGTTGCAAGTTATATTATACAAGGTGTCACACAAAAAACGCCCCAAGCTGTAACTCTGTCATTTATATTCTGATCTTCATGAGCGAAGTATCAAATGAAATGGTTTGATGAATGCTATGATTCATGCTACAAATAAATTTTTTCCAAGGCCATCTACAATTTTAGGCGATTATTAACTTTTGTTTTTCAAATTGCTCCATATATTTTTCTTCACGTCATTGGATAGAGATTCTTTTTCTGAATCCATTGATGTACAATTCATCCATTTTGAATGTAATTTTAGCAGAGAGAAACATCTGTATATACGGGTTGTCACACAATAACGCCGCAAGCTGTAACTCTGTCATTAACTATCCGATTTTCATGAACGAGGTATCAAATGAAATGGTTTGATGTATCCTATGATTCATGCTACAAATAAACTTTTTTCAATGCCCTCTTCAATTTCAAGCGATTATCAACTTTTGATTTTCAAATTGCGCGGTATATTTTTCTTCACGTTATTCTTCAATGTAGTACACCACCAGTAATAGGATTTTAACATCCTGATTTAGTGGTTGGGTACTGACGTCATTTTTTGGATAACAAAATAACAAAAAATAACCAATATCTAACCAAAAAATAATTAACTAATATTTGATTGTGATATTATCATTCGATTAATCACTTTTAACTCTATTAGACTTTTCGTTGTGTATTTAAGTGAAAATACAGAACTTTACAAACATTTTATGTATACATTTAACCCAATCAATTTTAAAACTACAATTTCATTCTGATTTCGTGGAATTAAACTACCTTTTCACCCAAACGAATTGAATTGAATTCAATTCGAAACACGGTTCCATATGCAGCAATTGAAACGTCAATCAATGTTACTATGCGAGTATAAATACATGAAAACTATTCCTCATGGTACAGGTGACGTTAAACATGTCCAAAGTGCAAACAGGAAACGTTGGTTTCAAAATAGAAAAGTAGGCGAATAGGGCGAAAATGAAATGTTGATGATTCAGCTATCGAATATCAAATGTTTAATTTAAACCAAACGTTTAATTGAAATGTTATCGACAAGGAAAACTGTGCTTTAATGGAAATTAAACATTTATAATTGCTTAATGATTACGACCCAAGTAGTCCTAAGTAAATAAACTCGGTAAAGGAAAGGAAGGAAATCACATCAGCAATGCTTTTAACGCGTGTGTTTGATTTCCTATCTATTTTATATACAATATAATTTTATATAAGTAATAATTTTTTTTCTAATATTGATTTCAATTTATTATTCATATTTATGCACGTCGTTTGTTTTTATTGAAATCGTTGATGTTTTCTCTACATCAGCATCGATTTTATAATTAGGTTCACTATAACAGACAGAACGAAACATGCAATATTCTCATTAACGAAGACGAAAGGTAATTTAACGTTATTTAATTCCATACACTATCATATTTAATCATTTTTAAGAAAAAGTAATTCAACAAGTCCTGTATGTAACACGAAAACCGTTTCATTAAACTAAATTAAATTGCTTCTTATTCAAACATTTTAGTGTAATTCGTAGGAGTACTATTAAATTGAAGTGGTAAATAAATAGAGTCTAAATATATCATTGGAAATAAATCCCTGTAAATTTCATATCTACTTTGATGGATAAACGCAATTAGGAAAGTTTCATTAACGTAATAAATTCGTCAAGATTCGAGATAACCCGTCGATTACTCTGAACGTCTAAATCAATGTTTAACCCATATCAAAGTTTCGAATTTTCATCTTAAATATGTTTTGGAGTTGGATATAATCAGTTACTCCTCTGTATTAATAGATAGGTGGGGTGGACGATTTTATTACTTTATGAGAGTAATGTAAAACGCGGGAAAATTAATCTATAAAATAGATTCTCTACAATTTTAAATTCGCGCAGATGGAGAATGTGGGGGGAATCAGCTGATAACCTTCACTTTCAACGCGCAGTCGCTCTCTCAAAGTGAATCATAAAGTGTGTACTTTTAACACGATGTCGTTCGATCCAAACGGTTAGTATATTCCCATTTACTACCTGTATGCTTTACACGTCAAAAACACCTTGTAACATTTAACTTTACTATGATAGAGAATTTACACATAATTTTTTAATTTTCTAAAATGTATGATTGTGTAATATTGTTAGAAAACCTTTGATATTGATAACACATCGTGATCGCACATCGTGATCGCACATCTTGATATATCAATAAGTTTCTTATCGAAGAGAACGCGAAATAAGTTTAAAATTTACTTAAATCTACAACACAAGGCTGAAATGATGAAGTGATTATAACACCAAAATAACTTTAATATTTCAAATAATATGATGACCAATTCCAATTTGATGTAATATTAATCACCAAGCCTCGATCACAAGCGACCCGACTTAACACGTTCACTGCCAGAACGCTTTTTATATTTCACGTGTGGACAAAATTTACATTTTTTAGCGCATGATGCGCAAACGAAAATAATGAAGTCCCATGACAAATATTTTCAAATAGTTATCATCCCTGTAAAGATATTTGTGAAAATGTGTCTGGGTCATAATGACCGAATCGGCGTTGTGTGAAATATTACATATTTTAAGCCATTGCGATTAACTCCTGAACATACGCTATGTCACGAAATTGAAATTCGGGCACAAAACGACTACTCACAAACACTGGTTTTCTAAGTATTTTTGCTTTTATTTACTAATTATTTGTTATTAAATTTGTACGCAAGAAATTGGCGCTATGCAACACTTCTAGTAGGCCGGCTTGTTCAATCTATATGGTCAAAATTATTACTATCCGTGCAAAAAGTCAAGGCCCCTCACTTTAGAGATCGATATCTTCGCAACCGCTCCATAAAAAAAATTGCAACAAAGTTTGTTGTAATCACTGAACATTTCTACGTAACTTATGTTAATCTGAAAATTTTCGGATCCACGGTTTTCTTGTTACCGCGAGTTAAATGAAAAATGTNAAAGCATAGATGTCTTGTCTAGAATAATATTCGGTAGTCTTCTCAGCAACTTGAGGTTAAGATTAAAAAACTATACTTCAACTCTTCACACTGATTCCAGTTATATCGACCATGAATGAGTTACCAAAACTTAAACGTGTGTTTATAACGTTATCCATGCTTGGCCATTCTTTTCAGAAAGCTCTCAAGCTGAGGTTTTACAAAACAAGGCATTCATGGTAGAGCTAGCGATCTCGGCTAAAAATCTATCTGTTGACGGGAACGTAGGTTTTCTAAAATAGTTTGTAAGTATATTGGTGATTCTAGCTAAGTGAATAAAATATAATGTATGGTTCTATATGGTGATATCTCGAGAAAAGCACAGATGTCTTGTCTAGAATAATATTCGGTAGTCTTCTCAGCAACTTGAGGTAAAGATTAAAAAACTGTACTTAAACTCTTCACACTGATTCCAGTTATATCGACCATGAATGAGTTACCAAAACTTAAACGTGTGTTTATAACGCTATCCATGCTCGGCCATTCTTTTCAGAAAGCGCTCAAGCTGAGGTTTTACAAAACAAGGCATTCATGGTAGAGCCAGCGATCTCGGCTAAAAATCTATCTGTTGACGGGAAGGTAGGTTTTCTAAAATAGTTTGTAAGTATATTGGTAATTTTGGCTAAGTGAATATACAGTGAAATTCCTCTAACTCGAACTTCTATATCTCGAATTATCCTCTAAGTCGAATAATTTTCGTAAGCTCAAGCATTTGACTAGGTTTCAAATGTGTTTTTATGTCTCTAAGGCCGACTTTTACCACCTCTTGATAAATTTAACCGATAGATAAATTGGTGCTCTTAGGCCCACTTTTACCACCTCTTGATAAATTTAACCGATAGATAAATTGGCGCTCTTAGGTCCATTACTACCATCTTTTAGATAAATTTATCTTATAGATAAATCCATATACTAGCCAATCAGAGCGCATAAAATAGCCGTAACCGTGGTAATAATCCCTTAGATAGCTTAACCAGAAGATGGTAGTAACGAGCCTTAGCCAATGAGAGCGCTTAAAACCGCTGTAACCATGGTAATTATCTATCGGTTAAATTTATCAAGAGGTGGTAAAAGTGGGCCTTAATAACGCTAGAATATATTGACCAGTTTCTCGCCTTAATTAATCGAAAGACCTATAATTTCGCTTGATAAAGCCGAGGTACCACAATATAATGACTAGGGCAACCAAAAATATGCTACAAAAATGGTAGTAAAATGGTGTAATCAAAACATGCTGTTTAAGTATGAAAATATGCTCTATAAAAAATTGGAATTAAATATTTAAAATATTGGATATCTTTTAAATCTCTAGGTGAAACCAAGTAAATGAAAAATGATATCTATTTCTATACACAAGATGTTTATTAGTTCGACTTATAAAAAAACTAAAAGAGAATTAAAAAATATTGAAGAAAACACAAAAGACAAATAGAGAAATAGAAAATGAAACAGAAACAGATTTAGCTATACATTGAAAAACTTCGTTCTGCTTCTACTGAAGCTATAGGTGCAAATTTAAATGCTATTGCTTCACTGAGGTTATATCTGTGGATCCTTCATGTAGAAATTTCTTTCAAAATAGAAAAACCATAATTTTTTGAAATAACCATAGTCATTTTTTCTTTACTAACTTAGCAGATTCACTGTTTATGCCGCTAATTAAGTCCTGAGCTTATGTCACTACTTCAACCTGTGTAGAAAGCGGAAGCCTTGCTGTTTCCAAAGTTTTTATTGATGCGCCAAGGAAACCATAATTTGATGGAATGAAAATCAAGTCTGATTTTATTCTATTGTCATTTAGTAGGTCCTTTGAAATTTTTCCAATTGTTTCTAAGTTAGCATAGTAGTTTGTAGCGAGTAGTTACCGGTTGTGGAGGAAGAGCTTTTAAAAATACTTTTTTCAAATTGGCGATAAGCCGGTCGACGTTAGAGTACTAATTATTTGCCAAGACATCAAATGAACGTTATCATCTCATATTGTTGAGGTTGCTTGCCGACGAGGCAATGAGACTAATATCATAGCTCTTAAATTCAAAACCTCATCGAGTTCAGATTTGTACTCATAATGTGTTAGTTCAAGCGTCTCGGCCGCAAGCGACCTCGACGAAGTGAAGGTAAACAATATCTCATTTAAATGTTGTATGCTTCATTTACTGTCCAAGACATCAAATGAACGATATCATCTAATATCGTCGAGGTCGCTTGCGAGCGAGGCGCTGGATCTGATATCATAACTCCTAAATGCAAAACCTCATCGAGTTTAGATTTGTATTTATAATGTATCAGCTCCAGTGCCTCACCCGCAAGCGACCTCGGCAACATGCAGATAAGCAATTACTCATTCAAGTGTTGTGTGTTAAGTTAATTTGCCAAGACATCAAATGAAAGTTATCATCTAATATCGTTGTGGTGGCTTGCCGACGAGATAGTGAAACTAATATCATAGTTCCTAAATTGAAAACCTCATCGAATTCAGATTTGTATTCATAATGTATCAGCTCCACTACCTCGCCCGCAAGCGACCTCGGCAAAGTGAAGATAAACAATATCTCATTTAAATGTTGTATGCTTAATTTACTTTCCAAGACATCAAATGAACGATATCATCTAATATCGCCGAAGTCGCTTGCGGGCGAGGCGTTGGATCTGATATTATAACTCCTAAATACAAAACTTCATCGAGTTTAGATTTGTATTTATAATGTATCAGCTCCAGTGCCTCGCCCCGACCTCGGCAACATAAAGATAAGCAATTGATCATTCAAGTGTTGTGTGTTAAGTTTATTTGCCAAGACGAGGTAGAGGTAGTGGAACAAATATCATAGGTCTTATATTCAAAACCTCATCGAGTTAGAATCAATTGTTTATACCAGCTTTACTGTGATATACAGGGCTTCCCAAAACTCCCGGGATAGAGCTATAAGTTTTGAACGAGTAAAGAAAAATATTTGAAAATTTGGGGATCACTAAAGAGTCATAAAAGCTACATTCTTAAATAGTTTAGAACTTCCGTGCAATGTGGTGTTTTGTTAGGGGATGGCCACCCCTACATTTTTAAATAGCAACCCCTATCAAGTTTTACCTTATTTTAAATGGAATGGAAAAAGAAACACAACGCCATAAACCATAACCTTATATCTTAATTGTTTCAAGAATTATGAGGGGTTGACTACCAAATGAGAAAATAAAGTGTTTTCATGTTTTTTTGCACATTTATTACGACTTTTATAACAAATGTTCAAATTGTCGACCTTCTTCGGTCTCGCAATGACCCAAACGCTCATAAACCATCAGGAGCATATCCTCAGTGATATTGGTAGTTTCTTCAAATATGAGATTTTCCAAATCATTTATTGATTCTGGTTTTGCTGCATAAACTCTACTTTTCAGAAACCCCCCAACTGAAAAAATTCAGTGATGTTAGATCAGGAAATCGTGGTGGCCACTCAATTTCACCTGTTCTACCAATTCAACGGTTTGGAAACGTGCGGCTTAAAAAGTCTATACTGCGCGACTAAAACATGGAGAAGCACCATCTTGTTGGATTCACTTAATGTCAATACCATTAGGGCATACAGCACGTACACTTGGAACCACTTGATTGTCTAACAGTTGCAGATATCTGTTTCCGTCCAAATTTTCATTAATAAAAAATGGACCAATTACATTCTCTCCCATAATACCAACCTATACATTAATTTTCTGTGATCTCTGAGTATGATCTTCTCTTATTAAACGTGAATTTTCGTCACTCCAATCACTAGGGAACCACCACTATCACTACTTAGGGATATGCTCCTGATGGTTCAAAATTCCATTTATGAGCGTTTGGGTCATTGCGAATCCGAAGAAGGTCGAAAATTTGAACATTTGTTATAAAAATCGTAATAAACGTGCAAAAAAACATGAAAACATTTTATTTTCCCATTTGGTAGTCAACCTGTAGTTACAAATCTAGCGCCTCGCCCGCAAACGACCTTGGCGAAGTGAAGATAAGCGGTTTCTCATTCAACTGTTGTGTATTTAATTTGTTATCCAAGACATTAAGTAAACGATATCATCCAATATCATCGACGTCGCTTGCGGGCGAGATTGGTGAAAGAGATATCATAGCTACTAAATGCAAAATCTCATTGAGATCAGGTTACAAAACTTTTCATTCTTAATGCTTGGTTCAAAATTGCCTTTTTGGCCATTTTATATCATCGTAATCGTGTATGAGAGCCAGGTTTTCCTACCATTCTTTTAAATGCATTGAGTGTCCAACTGTTACAGATGTACACTGACTTCTGTGATGAAGAAGGAGAGCTTTAAATCTTCTTTTCAAGGAATCTATAAATTTATCTTTATCTTAGGTGATGTTAAATTTGCTCATTAATCCAGGGACATCAGAACAATAGACCAGGTTCATCTCTTCCTCAAAGTACTTAACAAATTCCTTTTCTCGATCTTGTACTAATAAAAAGAGGTTCCGCTATCTCTTTCGAGAGGCCCACATCTCTAGTCAGATCATTAAGTTTAATCTGAGAGAAGGGCCAAAGACCTTATATTTAGTGTCATATGAACTTCTAGATGACTTTCATGACAAAATACGCAAGATAAAGTTATCTTACATAGTCCGTAATGTTCCTCATGCGAATTTTAATAATACGTTTCCACTTTTCACTGTATCAAGATTGTGTTTGCGCAATGTTTGTTATTATTGTCAAAATAATCTAGTTGAAGTGCAATTTATATCCTTATTTAGATTTATTCAAATTAATAAACGAATAGAGTAATCTTTTGATCAATCCTTTTCGTTTTAGAACATCAACATAATAGATATAATCCACTTAAAGACGAATGGGTATTAGTTTCACCCCATCGAATGTTACGACCATGGAGTGGACAAGTTGAAAATGCACCAACCGATAAAACACCATCATTTGACCCTAATAATCCTTTATGCCCAGGTGTAGAAAGACCGTGTGGGATAAAAACTCCTGAATACGACTCAGTGTACGTCTTTAAAAATGATTACCCCGCATTATTAGAAGATAGCCCATCTCCTAACGATAACAATGATGATTTATTTAAATCGGTATCTGCTAAAGGTACTTGCAGAGTAATTTGTTTCCACCCAAAATCAGATATGCATTTAGGAACGATGAGAAACGAAGAAATTCTGGATGTAATTAACGAATGGGTAAAGCAGACGGAAGATTTGGGAAAAAAATACGTGTGGGTGCAAATATTTGAAAATAGAGGTGCGATTATGGGCTGTTCTAATCCGCACCCGCACTGTCAAGTTTGGGCGTCGAATTTCTTGCCGAACGAACCGAGAATTAAAGATAAAAATTTAAAAGAATATTATCAAAAAAATGGTCGTCCTCTACTAATAGATTACGTCAAAAAAGAATTAGATAAACAAGAAAGAATTGTTTACGAAAACGACGAATTCGTTGTTCTTGTACCGTATTGGGCTTTTTGGCCGTTCGAAACGATGGTGTTACCTAAAAAACAAGTTTTAAGAATCACAGATTTAAACGAAACTCAAAAAAATTGTTTAGCCGATGTTTTAAAGGTACTCGTTTCGAAATATGATAATGTTTTTAAATGTAGCTTTCCGTATTCGATGGGATTTCACGGAGCACCTACTGGTGATGAATATAAACGAAATCAAGATCATTGGAGTTTCCATGCTATGTTTTATCCACCTTTGCTTCGATCAGCTACCGTTAAGAAATTTATGGTCGGATATGAAATGTTTGCTCAGGTTCAAAGGGATTTAACACCGGAGAAAGCTGCAAAAGTTTTAAGAGATCAGAATAATATTCATTATAAAATGAATTGATAATAAAGTTGTGTAAAATAAAATAAAGGATTTTATCAACTTGCTAACCTAGTACTTCCAATATACACCTAACTTCGGATATTCTCAAAATTTTTTAAATTTTTATTCCAAGATATTGAGCAAAATAAATGTTTAATTAAACTTGTTTAATGGTAAATGTTTTCATTAGATGAGTAAACGTTTAAATTTCCTGCTCAATAAAGGATGGCGCTAAAAATTACACTTAGAAATTGCACTATAATCAGTATTCAGTAATCACTATAATCAGTGTAAAATTACACAAATTTTTCACTTATCGTTAGATACACTTAGAAATTCTATAATAGAAAAAATAGATGAACCTACAATTTCGAACCAGTGTCGTTTTCTAGATGTTAGTATAAAATTAAAAGTTAGTTATTAACAGCTAGTTAGCACAAGATATCACTATGTCGCATATTTTTCTTACACTGAAACTATCAACTAAAATCATTCGTTTAGTCGTGAAAAAAACTTTCAGTTGTCAATGTCAACTTTAATTTTATTATCTTCGTAATTTTCATAAAATAACCTTTAAAGTGAGTCCAAATATGACGCACTTATCTCAAAAACCCAAAAAGTTCGATCTTTCAACTATTAATTTTGACATATTTGTCAAATTTATAAAAAATCCTTTAAAATGAGTCCAAACTCGACATATTTAACTTTGATATTAATGGAGATACAATCACTTCCGGTTTGAAACGTCAACGTCAATTTTGACATATTTGTCATCTTCATTAAAAAACCTTTAAAATGAGTCCAAACTTAATGCATTTATCTCAAAAGACAAAAAAGTTAGAATAAAAAACATTAAACCCGAAGTTAGCAACAATGAAGATAGCAATTTAATTTTTAAATATTAATACCAACCTTAATTTTTTATTTTTTTTTATTATATTTTTGCTTTTTGACAAATACTAAGACATTTTATAAAAAATAAGAATATGTCAAAATGACATTGACATTTCAAACCGG